GGGAAAGGATAAGGCGAAGGTAAGACAAAGGTGCAACAAAATTGGGGTAAGGATACGCCAAGAATAAAAAGCTAGGACAAAGGTTGTGCAAGAGTAGGGTAAGGCAAGGCGAAAGCAATGGTAGGCAAGGGTAAGACAAGAGTAGGGCAAGGACAGGACAAGGTGAAGGCAATCGTAAAGCAAAGGTAGAGCAATAGTAAGACAAGAATAGAGCTAAGAAGGACGATTGGTAACACATATTCAAGACAAGGGTAAGACAAGGGTACGACAAGGATGAGGGTAGGACAAGAGTAAAACAAGGAATAGGCAGGTATAAAGCAAGGGTAGAGTAAGTGTAGGAAGAGGATGTTATAAGGATCATGAGTAGGGCAAGGGTAAAGCAAAGATGCAAGGCTTAGGACACAACATTTTTTTTGAGTATAGACCAAATTTTTAAAAACTTTTTTAATTATAATGCTTGTTTATGGGTCAGGCTTTTTTGCTGATTAATAACCCTTGTTTTATCGAACTTATGTTTTATTTTCCACGTGATTTTAATCGTTTCGAGATTTTTTAAATTCTTCTTATTTTTTCATATTAACTTATTCTTCACAGTATTATATCTGTTTGAGTCAAGTTATTTATTTGGTTTATATAATTTAAACCTTTCTTCGAATATATAGTTAAGCTAACCTAATACATGTTGTTAATGTTAAGCTAAACCCTTGTTATTAAAACGAAAAAATTGTTATTAAAAATAATAACAATGTAGCAAATTGTTATCTTTCGCTTCGCTTCGAGTGTGATTCGACTGGTTTTTGTTTTGTCGCGGGTCGTTTCTATTCAAAAAACGAAAAAAAAAGTTTTCGTGCCACAACTTTTCTTTCCCCCCCGTTTTGCTTCAGAATCGTCTTCCAAAAACGCCTCAGGGCCCAGTGGGGCATCGATTCGTGGAGGGGATTTGGAATTGTTTTTTATTGGCTCCTTGAGGAGGGGGGAGAACACAAATTGGGCCTTTGGTCTAATCGGAAATGCTTGTACTAACTCTAATTGAAAAGTTGGCCGGATAAACATGGGGATGTGTAATATCATTTACTGTGGGTCATGTTTTTTGTCCGTGTCCGGCTGGTTGTATTATGATGCGATAAGCCGGGAGTGAAGAGAGAAGTTAAGACATGACAATATTAATAGTGCTAGGGGTTTATTTTGTGGCATTTGGAGTGGAGTTGGTACAAAATTTAAAATTTATATGGTGGCTTTTGACTTTATCATACCCTTGCCCTACTCTTGCTTTACTCTTGCCGTACTTGTGCCTTACCCTCGCCCTACCCTTGACCTACTCTTGCCCTACCCTTGCCCTTGTCTTATCATTGCCCTAACTTTGGCTTAGGTTTTTGTCCTCATTTGGCCTTCCCTTGCCCTACCCTTGCATTACCCTTGCTATCTTCTTGCATTACCCTCACCTTGCCATTAACCTACCCTTGGTTTACCATTGCCCCCTACTCTTGCTCTGTCCTTGTCCTATCATTGCCTTACCATTGCTTACCCTCTTTGCCCTACTATTCCCCTATACTATCTTACTCTGGCTCTGCTTTTGCTACGCAAAAACGCCTTATCTCTCTCCAGCCCACAGTAATCTCACACACCAACTTATTACACTGCCCTACTGTATGGTTTTAGCTACTAAAATCTATAAGCTTACAAACCTTCATTAGTATATTAAAACTTGTCATTGTTCTGTGCCATACAACTACTTATGATTTCTAATACTCCCCTCAACCGGACATATTATGGCATTATTACAACACACACATGCTCGGGCTGATTACATTACTTTATGAACGAAAGCGGATCATCGGATCTACGCCGGCTGAGCCCGAAATCTTGTTTTTCACACTTGCATTCACAAATAATTCTTGGCGGCTCCCTTTCGTCCACAGATTTCGCGAAGAGCAAACGAGTTTTTTTGCGTAAAATTTGAATATTCGGCACGCGATTAGTAAGCAAGTCAAACAGCGGGGGTAAAAACTTGAAAGTGGGGTTAAAAGGCAAGGGTGAGGCTTGAAAATGGAGTGCTAATTTGAAAAGCAAGGCAATAGAGAAGACTTTGAAGAAATTTACAAAAGGGTAGGGTAAAGTGGGATAGGGAAAAAGTAGGGCATGAGCTGAGCAAGGGTAGAGAAAGGGTAAGGCAAAGTGAAAGTAAGGGTAAGCAAAAGGTGAGTACAGTAGGACAAGGATAGGGCAAACTGGGCAAAGGCAGGGTAAAGGCAGGGCAAAGGCAGGGCAAAGGCAGAGCAAAGGCAAGGCAAGGGCAACATTGTAGAAATATCACTAGGGAAAAAGGTGACAAGGAAGCCGTTTTTAGATATGTCACATTTGATTGTGACATTTATTTTTAGATTGTGGAAATTTCACCTTTTTGTAAAGTAGTGTGAAAAGAAAATTCTTGCCATTTTTCGTTTTGTAAGGAAAGTTCTTGCTATTTTTTGTTTTGTAAAGAAAGTTCTTGCCATTTTCGTTTTTTGTAAACAAAGTTATTGCCTATAGGGTAGAGTGTAATAGAAGCACAAGCTGATTTTTTTTAAATTTTCAAATTTACGATAATGTAAAAATTAGTACTTATCAAAATTCATTTTGGTCATTTTAAACTTATTTTACGGAAAAAACAGTAAAACGAAAAATGAGTTAGATCAAACCGGTTTTTCAGAATTACTGTTGGTATTATTTACCATCAATTTCCGGACTAAATAGCTTTAATTTTAAAAGTTTTTTGTCACACTGACTTTATTTCTTATTCAAGTCTTATTATATGTTACCCTTTCCGTATTTTACAATTTTTAGCTTTCAAAAAGGTATTCCCACTAAATATTTTTAAGATTTCAAATCTTTAAGTTTAAAAACCCAATTTCCGTTTCACTGTATTACTAGAAGACCTTCTAGAACAGCAATATTATTGTTATTATAAATCTCGAATGCCATGGATAATAGAGATTAATCAAAACTTATTTAAGGATGAGGATATTAAGGATTACTCTCGGGAAGCCAAGTGGATTTAAATTATTTTTTAATCGTTTTGCCAGTCAATTTATCATTTTCGTTTGGGCCAAACTTTGGTTTCTCTTATTGTTTTTATAATATTTTAGGCTTGGTTTATTTTAAAAGTTTTGGTAGTGCTTAAAAAAATTGTCTTTCTACATAGCCGGTCCACAAAACGTATTTTACCTTTGAATAAGAGGAAGGGGAAGAGACTAAGGCTAGGCATAGGGTTAAGGCTAGGGCTAGAGTTAGACCGCGGGCTCGAGCTAGGAATAAGGCTAAAGCTAGGCCTAGGTATAAAGCTAAGACAAGCGCTATGATAAGAGCTCTGGGCTAGGGCTCTGGGCTAAGGCTCTGGGTTAGAGCGACTAACAAGGAAAGTACCCAACCTGCAACTCTCAGAATTAGCTTAAAATTTTTATACGGATTCTTTGTAGTACCAGTAGCACATATAAAAAATCTTAGCTTGCGGTTTTAAGTTTTAAAATTAATATATTTAAATTTCGCGCCAACTTGGCAAATTTGGCATTGTGTTGCAAGCACTTTTTTTGACTTTCCAGACAAGATAGACTTACAAATTTAAAATTGCAGGTTCATTTAAAGCTTTTATATCATTACATTAAAGAAAAATAGTTAAAAGTCAAAAAATAAGAAAGTTATAAGCTTGAAACACTATGCCAATTTGGCGGGAAATTCAAAACGTGAATTTTTGATCTCAATTTTCTCAAGTCTGGCCGCAAACCGCAACTTAGGATTTTGCATAAGATCTTACATTTACATGATCTTGAAATTAAAAAATTTTGAACGAAATCTGAGCGTTGCAGGTCGGGTACCTTCCTTGTAAGATATATTTATAGCTTTTTTTCTATCAATTTCAACTTCCTTTCATACATTTCAAGCTACAATATCCCTTCTGCCATCTTGTGACAGGGCGTATTGTATCTAATGCATACAAAACCGCATCTTATCTTGTTGTAAATGTGTAGTAGTTGAAATTTGAAAGAAAGAGAATTTTACAAGCTTGACTTTTAGTCTCGTGCCACTTTGACCAACAGTTTACAATTATTGCCACTTACAATATATGTTACATGAGGAGATTGGAGAAGTTGAGAGGGTGTACTTTTGATTATTATTTATGGAACTTTTGAGTACTGTAATGTATATCGTGATTCCTACAATACCATGCCATATCATATACTCCTTACCTTACCTTACTCTTACCCTACCCTACCTTTACCCTGCCCTGCTCTATCTTTTGTTATTTCCGATCTTCTTCTCTGCCGCCCTTTATAAATCTGCCATGTCCTCCCGTGCCCCAAACAAACAATGAAAATTGAAGACCTAAGTCCCATAAACAATCCCCATCTACCCCCATATCCGAGTCTTAATCCACTTAATTTCAATTACAATAATATAAGTTTAAGACTGTTTTGCAAGTGGGATTAGTTTTCTTGTAGCCAGCCGGCTGTGCCTTCGCTCTTCGAATCAAAAAAATTTTGATTGGTTTTTTCTTCGTGTGAAAGCCACCTTTTTATGAGTCAGTGCGCAGAGGGAATTTAACCGAGTTGAAGAAATTTTCTTACTTTTATTCGAATAATAACGAGTCAAAGGGGGGGGAGTCCTGGGTTGTACTTTTAGTTTGTATTTCTTAAGGTATTCGGAAGGGGAGGGGAGAAAAGATGATTTTTGGGGTATGTCATCATTTTCGAAATTTTGATGACTTTTTCGCAATTTTATTTTTAAGTTTGAGGTTGTAAGCTTAATGGGTAGGCTCGTTTAAAATTTATTTCATTTCATTTTGAACCTAATTCAATTTTTTTAAAAATTACATGTAGCAACCGTATTTTACCTAAAATTAAAATTTTTTTTAAATTTTTCTTTTATTATCAATTTTTTATATTCCGTGCCGTGTGACATTCTTTTTTGACCACCGATAAACTAATAAGACTTTTTTTAATTTCAAGCTTTTCAGGGTCAGAATTATGGCTGGCGGTACGCCGTTAGCGCTGGCCCTATTGGCCATATTGGCAGCAATAAGTCATGCCAAAATTAATGTAAGTTTTTTCTACTATCATATTTACTCCCCACCCCCCTTTTTTCAACTACAATATACACTCCCCCCCCCCATTTTTTAAATTTTCTACGACAGCCATTTACTTCGTATTTTACAATTTTAAAATTTTACCCCCACCCACCCCCTTTTTTTACTTTTTTATTTTTTTTGTGACAAGTATCTGCTTCGTATTTTAAAAAATAAAAATTGTAAAAAATTTACCCCGCCCTTTACTCCTAAAAATTTTTTTTTTAAATTTACCTCTCCCTTCGCTTTAATTTTTTTTTAATTTACCCCGCCTTCCACACTGATTTTTTTCCAAAATTTACCCCACCCCTAACTCAAACAAAAATTTTTTTCAGTCAGTTTCGGCATCGATTGACCGTAAAAACACAGCTCACCACAACTTCATTCCAATGGTCGCTTTCAAATGTGGCTACAGGAATAAGTACCTAAATGAGAGTGGAGATTGGGAATCAGACCCATCCAGTGTAGCCACTTGTCTTCAAGGCAAATTGGACATTTTGAAATACTGCAAACGAGTAGGTTTATTTACTTTACATTCATTAGGCAGTGGAAATTTCGAAAAAAAAGTTTTAACTTTTTAAAAATATTACTTTTGTTACCTAAAATGTATGTATAACACCTTAAAACCCCAAGATTTAACCAAAATTTCAGGTATACCCAGACAAGAAGATCACGAACATTGTAGAGTACGGTCACATTTCCCAGATCCCTCAATGGTGTGACGAAGACACTGGCAGACACTGTCAGAAGACCTTCTACATTCGACCCTACCGTTGTTTGGAAGGCGAGTTCACCGCCGACAGTCTTCAGGTGCCAAGCCGATGCAAGTTCGGCCACGTTTCTGGCCGCGAGACCTGCGAAGGCTTCCGTCAATGGCGTCAGAAGGGTGAACGTCAATGCGAGGCTTCTGTAGATGAAAAGAGCCAGAAGCCAATGCGACTCCACTCGTTCGGCCTTCTGGAGCCATGTGGCTTGAGCTTGTTCCGTGGCGTCGAGTACGTGTGCTGTCCGAAGGACGTTGAGGACAAGTTCGTCGAGGAGAACCTTGAGGACGATATTCAAAACTACAACTTGGACGACGATGAAGAAGACGATGATGATGACGACGATGATGACGATGAAGAGGAGACTAGCACGGAATCCAAGGATTCTGATGGTCAAGACCCGTACCTTCAAGAAGACAGTGAAGCTGATGAGCACGAACGCTACAAGGACGCTCAGGAACGTTTGGAGAAGAAGCACCGTGCCAAGGTGACCAAGGTCATCAATGAGTGGAGCCAGCTGTTCGAACGCTACAACACGATGAAAGAGAAAGATCCAAATCAGGCTGAGGAGTTCAAAGATGAGATGACCAACAAGTTCAGAAAGACTGTAGCTGCTTTGGAGAACGAGAACAAGGACCAGCGACGTCAGTTGGAGCAGGTTCACGATGAGCGAGTTCAGAATACCTTGAACGAGAGAAAACGCAAGGCTACACACGACTACCGTATGGCGTTGGCTCTTCAAGTGGGTCAGAAGAACAAGAAGCAGGTACTAAAGACCCTGAAAGATTACATCAGAGCTGAAGAGAAGGACCGTGCCTACATGCTACACCGTTACCGTCACCTCCTCCGCTCCAACTCTGAATCCGCTCAAGCCTACGAGCCCATGTTGTTACACCGTCTTCGCTACATTGATCTACGCATCAATGGCACACTGGCTATGCTACGCGACTTCCCTGATCTAGAACGACAACTGAAGCCAATTGCCGAGGAATTCTGGAGAGAGTACCGCAAGGAGAATACTCCAGATGCCGATGAACACAAGATCGTGGGCACTTCTGACGCCAACGAACAGTTGATCAAGTTCTACAAGGACACCTACGACAAGAGTGGTAAGGTGAAGATCAGCAGTGTGTTGGACAAGGTGATGAAGGAGAACGAACATAAGCCTGAGCATAAGACAAAGTTCATCTCATTGGATGAAATCGTCTCTGATCGTCATCACGGTAGCCTGAAGGCCGATGAAGCCAGAAGACTGTCTGACGAGGATTCAGATGTCTTCAATGTGAAAAAGCATTCTGAATCCCACAAACTTCACGATGACGATGAAGACTTTATGAAGTTCCACAAGAAGATCGACTCCTTCAAATCTGTTGGAGATGAAGCCAAATTCGACCGTGTAAAGCCAGAATCCAAGACTTTCGACTCAAAGAAGACCAAGGAAGACGAATTTAAATCAGAAGCCGACTTCGATTCAGATGAAGATCAGTTCGAAGAAGACGATGAGGCCGAAGAACCTAAGAAGAACACCGTGGTCATCAAGTCAGAAGACAGTAACGATGTAGAGATCGTGCACAAGGAGCCCATCGTTCAGGAGAAAGACTTGGGTAAGAAGTTGGACGACGATGAAGAAGAAGAGGGTTCAGATGAGAGTGATGAAGATGACGATGAGGATCTGAATGAAGAAGAGGAACATATTGTTGTTAACAATGAAGATCTGTATGTTAGGAAAGAGGTCGGACCATCTTTCGCTCGACAAGATCAGTTGTTGGTTGACTATGTAAGTTTATATCAAGTTAAGGTGGGGTACGGTAGGGTAAAGTAGATACGGTAAAATAAAGCCGAGTATGGTAAGGAAAGGTAGGATAAAACAAAGTACAGTAGAGTAGAGTACAGTAAGGTATAGTAAACCCACCTCTTTCAGTTCCACCAACCCCTAGAACAATCCAGCAGCTGGACCACCCCCACCACCCTCATCGTCCTCGCCACCGTTGTGATGTGCGCTATGGGTATCGTTGGCATCGTACTGAAGCACAGGCCGTCACGTCAGGGCTTCGTCGAAGTGGACGTCTGTAACCCGGACGATGGTGATGTGTCGAAAATGCAAATCAATGGCTACGAGAACCCGACCTACAACTTCTACGATCAGAAACCATAACTTCTTTAACTTCAATGTTCTCAATATTGTGTTAGAATGGGGTTTTTAAATTTTTGAATTTTGAAAAAATTTAAAATTAAAAAAAAATTTTTTTTGAAAAGTTCGATTTTTTTTAAATTTTGAAAAATTTAAAAATTCCAAAACTGTCAAGTTCTGCGAACCCTTTTGTCGTCTCAACAAAATCCGAGTTCTTTTTTGTATTTATTTTGTGAATCATCCAAATAATATACAATAGTTTCTTATAAATATAGTATTTTTTCGTATCTGTCAATAATTTTCTATATTATTCTTTAATAAACAAAAATAAAACAAAGTTTGAAGTTAAACGAAGTTTTTTAAAACTTAAAGTTTAGGTTTTTAGCCTAGAATAAAAATCTTCGGTAGTAAATGCAGTAGATCTAAAATAACAGCAACATAATTTTCAAAGCAAAACAAATGCCTAACATAACATAAATCAAGCAAAAACAGGTAAACTCAAGCATTCCTTGAGCAAAATGAAAACCAAAGCTTAGTATAGCCATTTTACTATTTACTATTACCTATTTTAATAGCTAATCCTTTAAATTTCATTAGTTTGAGCCCAGTTTCGAGCATCAAGTCTCAAACGCCTATGTTAACATCAATTTTTATCGCCACTAAAAAAATAATTCATTTTGCGTCAATAAAACTTGTCAAAGTACTTTAATACTAATTTGTTCAACATATAATAACGTATTTTACCTTATTTAACCTTTTATTTCATAAATAAACGCTAATAACAAGTAATAACTTTCATATAGCTTATGATAACAAAAGATTTGAACCCTATACTATTAATATTTAATTTAACTTCTCGAAAATGCTTTTTACAGCACAAAAACATTATCCTAAAGCTTTTAAAAACCATTTTACTGCCTTCTAACGTCAAACTTATACCTAAAAATAAAAAAGCAACAAAAACTTACCAGAATATTCACATAATCCCTATCTTTGATACATCGTTTCTCTGTTCTCTAATTCATCTTTCTACCTGTTCATCATCGACGTCTCACATCCACAAACTTTAGAATGATTGAGTTTGGTCAAAACTTCATGTTATTAGCTTCAGTTCTAATATTATAGTCATACCATCTTGTTTATCATCAACAAAGAAACCTTTTTTGAACCGGATCACGTTGTTTTGTATATTCTTCCCCATACATCTCGACGAAGATGTAAATTTCCATCAAATTCTTCAACAACTTTCAGCAATAAACGAAAAGCCACGGAACATTGAGAAATCAAACGAAGTGTCACAAAAATAGCGTGTTTTTTGTGAATCCTTCAAAATCTTGAAACAATCTGCAAACTTGCTGTTCTCAACATCAAATTCGACCACAATTTTGTAGATACAACAATTATACGTGTCCAAATAGACTGGTAAGTTATTATTTGTTTTGATTCAAGCCAAATTTTTCTTTAACTAGACGTTTACTGATCAAATTCTGGCGAAATTTAGCGGCCGATGCCAGTTATTGTCAAATTTTTGTTTGAAATTGCTTTAGCACTTAAAATATTGCTTTCTTTATATAGATACGTCTTTATTTTCATCTTTTTCAACAGATTCTGGCCAGATTTGAACGTGGTGAGCCAGTTTTGGCAAAATAACGGGATATTTTACTTGATCTTCTTGATTTTATCGCTTGATTTGAAGTAATTTTTAATATTAGTGTTGTTTAATTTTAGTTTAGTTAATTTTCTTCAACTTAAGCTCTACTTTATTTACTTCCAAACCTAAAATAATATACAGTAAAACCTTTTTTTTCTATTTTTACTCCAAGATCCGAGCGGAGTTCGTCTTTCAAGTTCCTGAGGGCTTGAATTTCGTCAGTTCAATTCTTTCTCTAAATCGTTTTTTTTTTGTTGTGAGTCAGCGTTGTTCTGCTTCGATTACTTTCCGGAAACTTTACAGGAACTTACAATTAACAACTTTTCGTGTTTGTTTTAAAACTTGAAAACAAGTTCAACTTTTGGGTACTGTAAGATTGAACTACACTTGTTTTATAAAAAATCAGGTTAATTTTCCGGGCAATTTATTTTTTTGAAATGATGGTTAAAAATCTTAGCCCTAGCATTGATTTAGTCCTAGCTTTGTAGTAGCCTTGTCCTAGCTTTTCTCTAGACTTTTTCTAGCCTTCTTCTAGACATGCCTAGCTCTGCTTTAGATTTTCCTTTGCTTTCCTTTAGCTTTGCTCTAGCTTTGCCTTAGCCTTTTTTCGCATTGCTCTAACCTTTTTCTAGTCTTGTCCTATACTTGCCCTAGCCTTACCTTAAGCTAGTTCTAGCCTTGCCCTGCCCCAGAGCCCTAGCACAGTCCTAGCCCAGATTTCTTGTCTTAGCCCTGCTCCTAGCCTTACCCTAACCTAATCTTAGCCTTGCAATAGTCCTATTTTAGCCCTGTCCTAGCTCTGCTTTATTTTGTTCATAACCTAGCTTTGCTTTATCTCTGACTTATCACTGCTCTAGTCTTACCTTAGTCTTCCTCTAGCTCTGCTCCAGGCTTTCCCTAGCCTTGCCATACTCTTGCCCTAGTCTTGCTTTAATTATGCTTTAGCCTAGCCTAGCTTAGTCCTAACTTTGCTCTAGCTTTGCTTTAGTCCTGGTTTAGCCCTGTCCTAGTTTTCCCTAGCTTTTATTATTCTTGCCCTAGGCTTGCTCTAGTCTTATCATAGCCATAGCTCTCTAGCCCTAAATAAAGAGCAAATTACAGGTCTGCTCTAGCCTATCCCTAGCTGTAGTCCTACTCTTTCATAATAACTTATGTTCCAAAATTTACTTTTTTACATGTAATAGTAAATATACCTAAAAAAACGTCTACCCATTCGTAATTTAAAAAAAAAACCTCTTTTCATTGAAATTTGAAACTTTTTTTCAAACTACAGTATTGGAGACAACTTTTGAAAAGGAAACTAGATTACTTTCACATTGTATTATATTATGTTTGCCCCCTCGTACGGCATTCAAAGAACGTTCTCCAGACGTTACGTAGCCGTGTTTGGAACGTTTGTAGTTCCTTTTGGAACATTGTAGTGACTTCGGAGGAAAAAGTTTTTAAAAATTTTGTTTGAAAATTGCTTGAAAAATTGAAATTTCAAGAGTAAAATACGATCTCCAGTTTGATACGTTGCTTATTGTCTATCCTCACCTTGTCACTTTTACTGTACAAACCCACCTTTTCTCTATGATAAAGTCGTGTGAAAACTTTGCAAATTTTGCAAAAAGTCCTCTCAAAACCGAAAAAAAACAATGGGCTTTTAAAAACGGATATTTGCGGGAGAATTTCGAGTCTGGGCCAGTCGAAAAGAACACTGGAATTTGTCACGGAACGACGAAACGAACGCAACTCGAGACGTTTTTTGGCTGAAAATTGTGACAAAATTATGTAAAGTTTGCAATTTGAAATTTAAAAGAGCTAAGGATAAAAATAGAGCTAAGGCTAGGGATAGGCCTAGGGTCAAGGCTAGAGATAGAGATAAAGCTAGGGATAAAGCTAAAAATAGGGACAGAGTCAGGGCGAGGGATAGGATTAGGGACAAAATTTTAAAATTTTTTCAATTCGAAAAACTATTTTTTTTAATTTTATTTTTGAGTTTTTTGCACTCTAATTTTAATTTTTTTTTATTTTGTAAGCCTACTTGAGCTACAGCACACCAGGACGGAAAAAATGACATAATAAGGCAAGGTAGAAATAGGAGAACTTTATGGTATGAGCTTTGGTTGAGCAGGATAGAGTAGTACAAGGCAGGGCAGGGTTAGGTAGTGTATGGTAGAGTTGATATACGATAAGGCCAAGGCTAGCATGGTTTTTGGTTAAGCAGGACAGGGCAGGGTATAGTAATGTAGAATAAGTCTGAGGTATGGTAAGGTAATGTGGAGGAGAGTATGGTAAGGTAGGGTAGGATAGGATAAGATAGAGTAGGGTAGGGTGGAGTAGGGTAGGGTATCACCGAGTTAAGGTATGTTTATCTGAACTTGCTTTTTTGATATGGTCTTTCATAATATCTCCCCACCAGTCTAGGTGCACTTCAACCCCACCATAAAGTTTTATTTTCGACCAAAAATAGACATTTGCAATCTGCACTGTACACTCTTATCTTGCACCGACGACCTTTATCTCTCCATATTAACGTCTGCAGAGTTCTGAAATTCACGTGGCGTAGTTTCGGGTTTAGCGGCGCAAGGGAAGGGATATTCGGGTGGGGAATTTCGTCGATGCGATCCGCTGCGTGATTATAAAATGTTATGATGTTGAGGAATGGGGGCTACGGTAGCGATTTCAAAGATTATTATTCATTGTGGTTGATGACGGATGGCGAGGGGGCGGGGTAGGAATGTTGTTGGTAAGGGTAGGTAGAATAGGAATTTTAGTGCTAGGGGTGGCTAGAATAAAAATTTTGATGGAACTGGCGGGTAGAATTGAAAAGTTGGGAGAAGGAGTGTGCAAAAAAGGAATGTTAGCGGATGAAGTGGGTAGGGGAAGGGGTGTCATTTTTTCGAAAAGCCAATGCTTAAAATACTGATTTGTTGTTCTATCAAACCTTGCTTCATTCATAATTTAAAGCAATTTTAATTCAATATTTCAAAAATTTTAAAAATTCATTTTTCTTTTCTATGAGCTATCATAATATAAATTCTTGCGGGTATAAAAAATGCTAATAATTTTATGTTTTTTGCTCTTAAAAGACGTTCTATAGTTATTTTTTACAAATTTTTATCTTTAAGCTTGAGGCTTTTCATAGTCCTACTCTAGTTGTGCCCTATTATACCCTTGTCTCAGTCTTACTTTCTTCTAACTTTACTGTACTTTTACACTAGCCTTGCTCCAACTGTATTCTAGTTTTACTTTTGCCTTGCTTTAGTCGTAGGCTACCCTAGTCCTACTTTAATCCTGCATTAGCGCAATCTATCTCTACCCTTACTTGGTCTACCCATGCCTTAGTTTAGTCTTACTAGACTTTTCCAAGTCATGCCCTAATCTTACT